GTGTTTTTGAGCGCACTTTTCTCTAAAATTCAAGTTGCTATAGAAACTAACATCTGTGGTTTCTGCTGGTTATGAAAATTACAGAGGATGTTTCACTAAGCTTCAACTTTGACTGAGATAATTAGTCATGCTGGTTAACTTTAATTTTAATGAGGAGTGTTTTTTAATGTGTGTGTGTGTGTGTGCGTGCGTGTTTGTGTGTGACACTGTCTCTGCCAGACTCATATCCGTACAGCCACCATCTGAGGAGGAAGAGGATGTTGATGTTGCCCGGGAGCGTAGGAGGGTGTACGAAGGCAACGCTAAGAAAGACCTCGTAGCCATCTATGACCTCACTAAGGTATGCTGCTATGGTACAACATGGTGGTTTTGAGTATTCATGCATGTTTTTCAACTCCATCAAAGAGTGTGAAATCTACAGGCCACACCTACACATTTTTACAGATGTGTCACATAGACGATGGTTTCTGATTGGTTGAGTCTTCATGCTTTTTTTCTCTCAGCTCTTTGGCAGGTTTTCGTTTGTTTTATTGTTTTATTATCTCTTTATTATCTCTTACTCGATTGGTAGTCTGTGCCTGTTTTTGTTTAGATCATCGAGTTTATAGTGACTTTAGGTAATTCGTTTTTTAACAATTTTTTTTTTCGTTTGTGCTTCGTTCTCGTCAGTTTGTTGATTGAAAATAAAGTTCTTTCATTTGTCATCWTGCTGCCTGTACTTCCTGCATTTTRATCCCTCAAACCAAGAGTTCACRACAGTTTATTGGATTTATAGTSGATCWAACTWGGGTTGGGTGATAAATGGATTCAATTGATTAATTCGAATTTGCCATTTATTAAGATTTAATTTTGGGAAAATCAAGATTTTTATTCCCACCAGTGCACTCTTTGGGRMTTCTGTAGTTCAGAGGTCAGCCCACCTGTCCCTCAAGACTCTTTGTACACAACATGACAATATGGCAGCTAGCAGAGAGGATCTATCTCTCAAAAAAGGYCCTGTTTCTTCAGTTTTCTGGAACTGGTTAGGTATTGTAACCTTGGAGCAACAAACACCTTACTGCAAAATCTGTTTGAAGGCCCTTGATACAAAAAGCAGGAGCACAACAAATTTGTTTCGACACCTGAAACAGAGGCACTCCATTACGTGGGAAGTGAAATCGATTAAAATCGAAAATTGAATTTGGAATGAAAAAATATCWGAGATTTTTTTTTGGGCCATATTGCCCAGCCCTAGATCAAACCKTTATGGTCAATTTCAGGCCTCAAAGACGAGTTCCAGGCAGATCTGGACCTCAGTGAGCCAAAGTTAGGCCAACATTTGTTTCGCTTCTATTTTTTCACGACAGTCTGAATGGGACAAATTTAAATCTTTCAAATTCGACCCAGGTCTTTTCGGTTTGTGGTACTGAATCGGATACATATCTGGGGTCTCATTTATAAAGGATTGCGTGGAAACCATACTAAAAGTGAGCATACAGGCAAAAGGTAGAAATGGCGTACGTCAAAAAAAAATCAGATTTATAAAAC